GAGACGGAGTCTCACTCTGTCACCCAGGCTGGAGTGCAGTGGCGTGATCTTGGTTCACCGCAAGCTCCTCCTCCCGGGTTCCCGCCATTCTCCTGCCTCAGCCTCCCGAGGAGCTAGGACTACAGACACCCACCAACCCTGCTCAGCTAATTTTTTTTTTTTTTTTTTGTATTTGTTACTAGAGACGGGGTTTCACTGTGTTACCAGGATGGGTCCAATCCTCCCACTGGACTCATGATCCCCGCCTCAGCTCCCCAAGGTGCCTGGGAATTACAGGCGTGAGCCACCACGCCCGGACTTTTTATCTTTTTGAGGGACTGGAGTCTCCTCTGTTGCCCAGCTGGAGTGCAGTGGCTGGATCTTGGGTTCACATGTAAGCTCCACCTCCCGGTTCAAGTGATTTCTCCAGCATCAGCCTCCTGAGTAGCTGGGACTCACAGGCACGTGCCACAACTGGCCAAATTTTCTTATTTTAGTAAGAGACGGGTTTTCACCATGTTGGCCAGGATGGTCTCGATCTCCTGATTGTCATGCACGTCCATGTGAAGAGACCACCAAACAGGCTTTGTGCGAGCAATAAAGCTTTTTAAATCATCCTGGGTGCGGGCGGCTGAGTCCGAAAAGAGAGTCAGTGAAGGGAGATAAGGGTGGGGCCGTTTTATAGGATTTCGGTAGGTAAAGGAAAATTACAGTAGAAAAGGGGTTGTTTTGGCCCGGGCGCGGTGGCTCAAGCCTGTAATCCCAGCACTTTGGAGGCCGAGACGGGCGGATCACAAGGTCAGGAGATCGAGACCATCCTGGCTAACACGGTGAAACCCCGTCTCTACTAAAAAATACAAAAAACTAGCCGGGCGCAGGTGGCGGGCGTCTGTAGTTCCAGCTATCGGGAGGCTGAGGCAGGAGAATGGCGGGAACCCAGGAGGCGGAGCTTGCAAGTGAGCTGAGATCCGGCCACTGCACTCCAGTCGGGCCGACAAAGCGAGACTCTGTCTCAACAAAAAAAAAAAAAAAAAAAAAAAGGGGTTGTTCTCTCTGGTGGGCAGGAGTGGGGGTCACAAGGCGCTCAGTGGGGGAGTTTTTTTCAGCCAAGATGAGCCAGGAAGGGAAAAATTAAAAAAAAAAAAAAAAGAAAAGGGGTTGTTCTCTGGTGGGCAGGAGTGGGGGTCACAAGGCGCTCAGTGGGGGAGTTTTTCAGCCAAGATGAGCCAGGAAAGGGAATTTCACAAGGTAATGTCATCACTTAGGGCAAGGACCAGCCGTTTTCACTTCTTTTGTGATTTTTCAGTTACTTCAGGCCATCTGGGCGTATAGGTGCAAGTCACGGGATGCAATGGCTTGACTTGGGCTCAGAGGCCTGACGCTGATTCACCCGCCTCCGCCTCCCAGAGTGCTAGGATTACAAGCGTGAGCCACCGTGCCTCGCCTCTTGGGTTTTTCTGATGAGAAAAGGTGGTGACGATACTGGGCCAATGCTTTGCAAGAAATATCAGAGGCGGCCAATCAGATACTCCCTTTCAATCCCATGTACAAAACTACATCTGCGGCAGAGGCTGCTGTCCCAGCATCCCTATGTCACTGCCTCCTGTAAGATATGAAACGCTACCCAGTGGCATCTGGCCTTGGGATGTGAGCTGAAGGGACTGTGTGACTTCCAGGTGAAAGGAAGCTTTCACCTCTCCTCGCCTCAGTGACGGGAAGACAGACTGAACCAGAATGCCTGGCCCACCTGTGCAAAACAACTGCTTCTCTCCAGAATGTTAGGGGAGAGTGAAGAAAGGCATCATCGTCAGGCCCTATATTTCGGGGTCTCTGTCCTAGTAGAGTCTGTGCCGTTCTCCATGGATCTAAGAAGCACATGTAGGCGGGGGGGACGTGGCTCAGGCCTGTAATCCCAGCACTTTGGGAGGCCGAGGCGGGCAGATCACGAGGTCCGGAGATGGAGACCATCCTGGCGAACATGGTGAAACCCCATTAACTCTATTAAAAATATGAAAAAATTAGCCGGGCGTGGTGACAGGCACCTGTAGTTCCAGCTACCCGGGAGGCTGAGGCAGGAGAATGGCGTGAACCCGGGAGGTGCAGCTTGCAGTGAGCCAAGACTGCATTACTGCACTCAAGCCTGGGTGACAGAGCGACTCCGTCTCCAAAAAAAAAAAGAAAAAAGCACATGTACCAAAGTTTGAAACCTCACGGCCCCATTTCCCGGCTTCCCTTCTCTTAACCCTCAGTCTCAAACCTGGGCTCAAGCAATCCTCCCACTTCAGCCTCCCAGACTGCTGAGATTACAGGTGTGAGCCACTGGCTGGCCTTTGTTCTCATTCTGATTCTTTCCTGACACCTGGAGACCGAGTCAGAAGCATCTGGCCTGGCACTCACTGATGGCCTAGCCTCAACCTCCCTTTCCTGCCTTAATCCCCCTTCACACATCCTCTGCTTGTGCTCTTCTCCACACCCTTCTTATTTCTGGGTGTCCAAATCCTTGTCACATTTCCTGAACTCAAAGAAAGGCCATGCCAGGCCGGATGCGGTGGCTCACGCCTGTAATTCCAGCACTTTGGGAGGCCAAGGCGGGAAAATCACTTGAGCCCAGGAGGCTGACGATGCACCGAGCCCTGATCATGCCACTACATTCTAGCCTGGGCGAGAGCGTGAGACTCTGTCAAAAAAAAAAAGGATAAGGCCAAATCACTACTTCACCCGAGTCCAGCACGGGACTCAACGCGGTGAGCGCCTGCTGCGCGTCTGAATGAGCCAAGTGTGGCTCCTGTTGTCATCCAGCCACGATCTGTTAATGATTCTTACTGAACACGTGGCTTGTCCTCTCAGAGCACCAGCCAGCAGTTAAAACACAAACCAGCGGCCAAAGTTCAAGCCTGTCCGCCCCCACCAGCCGTGCACCTGGGCGACATCGCCCAACGCCCCGAGGCTCCCTCCTGGTCTCTGCAGACGGAGGCACCGGCATCTCTGCAAGGGCCGCGCGCCAGGGCTCGCGTGAAGCCGCCAGGCAGCGCCGGAGCCCGCTCGATGCAGCCCAACCCCAGCGGGAGCCTTCAAGCCCCAACTCGTCGCGCGAGTAAATTTTTCCCAGAAGCAAGCGGCTCGCGGCTCAGCCTGCAAAGCCCGGCCCGGGCGCTGAGTTGGAGCCCGGAGCCTGCTCTTCCCACGGCGCGGGCCCGTCTCTCTGCGGGCGCGAGGCATCCCCGAGCCCGCCCCGGCCCCCCGAGATCTCCGGGGACCGCTCGTCCGAGTCCCGAGCCCGCCCCGCCCTCCGCCCCCGCCGCGGAGAACTCTGGGACCGTCGCTCCGGCCCGTGCCGGAAGCTTCGGCGCGGCAGCGCGACACGAGACTCCCCAGTTCCGGCCAAGCAGTGCCGCTAGCGAAGCGCGCAGAGCTGCCCGGGTGGCCCCCCGCGCACCCTGTGTTCCGGAGGCACCGTGAAGAAGCCCTCCTTACGAATACACTTCAGACGGATCTGCTCCGACTCTAGCTCTGGCTCCGCCATGCCCAGCGCTGGCCACGCCTCCTGTGCGCGCAGGCGCAGACGCGGACGGCCCCGCGGCGCGTGCGCGAAAGCTCCTTTCCGGGCTTCCGCTCCTTACCAACGGTTACCAAGAGACGCTCCCGCGGGTCCGCCCTGGGCGCTCAGCCCCAGGGACCCGCTCCGACTGCTGCAGTTCGGGCCTTATTTTAGGGTGAAGCCCGGGCACCCGACCCGGCTGCGCCGTAGTGGAAGGCCACGGCGATTATTCAGATGAAGGTCTTCCAGGTGAGATGGGGTCCCCCAGGTAAGAGGGTCCTCCAGGTGGGAGTCCTTCATATGGCGAGGTCCTCTAGGTGGGGGTGAGAGGGTCCTCCAGGTAAGAGTCCTCCAGGTAAGAGGGTCCTCCAGGTGAGGGTCCTCCAGGTGAGGGGTCCCCCAGGTGAGGGGTCCTCCAGGTCAGAGAGTCCTCCAGGTAAGAGGGTCCTCCAGGCAGAGGGTCCCCCAGGTTAGGGGTCCTCCAGGTAAGAGGGTCCCCCAGGTGAGGGATCCTCCAGGTGAGGGTCCTCCGTCAGAGGGTCCCCCAGGTGAGAGGGTCCCCCAGGTGAGGGGTCCTCCAGGTGAGGGTCCTCCAGGTGAGGGTCCTCCAGGTGAGGGGTCCCCCAGGTGAGGGGTCCTCCAGGTCAGAGAGTCCTCCAGGTAAGAGGGTCCTCCAGGTCAGAGGGTCCCCCAGGTTAGGGGTCCTCCAGGTAAGAGGGTCCCCCAGGTGAGGGATCCTCCAGGTGAGGGGGTCCTCCAGGTCAGAGTCCTCCAGATGAGGGGTCCTCCAGGTCAGAGAGTCCCCCAGGTGAGGGGTCCTCCAGGTCAGAGAGTCCTCCAGGTGAGGGGTCCTCCAGGTGAGAGGGTCCCCCAGGTAAGGGATCCTCCAGGTCAGTCCCCCAGGTGAGAGGGTCCTCCAGGTGAGGGTCCTCCATCAGAGAGTCCCCCAGGTGAGAGGGTCCCCCAGGTGAGGGGTCCTCCAGGTGAGGGTCCTCCAGGTCAGAGGGTCCCCCAGGTGAGGGGTCCTCCAGATGAGGGTCCTCCAGGTCAGAGGGTCCCCCAGGTCAGAGGGTCCCCCAGGTTAGGGGTCCTCCAGGTAAGAGGGTTCTCCAGGTGAGGGACCCCCAAGTGAGGGGTCCTCCACGTAAGAGGGTCCTCCAGGTGAGAGGGTCCCCCAGGTGAGGGGTCCTCCAGGTGAGGGTCCTCCAGGTAAGAGTCCTCCAGGTGAGGGTCCTCCGTCAGAGGGTCCAGGTGAGAGGGGGTCCTCGCAGGCGGTCAGAGAGTCCCCAGGTGAGAGGGTCACCAGGTGAGGGTCCTCCAGGCTGAGGGTCCCTCCAGGTGAGGGGTCTCTGTCAGAGGCGTCCCCCAGGTGAGCGGGTCCTCAGGTGAGGGTCCTCCGTCAGGAGGGTCCAACCAGGTGAGAGGGTCCCCCAGGGTGAGGGGTCCTCCAGGTGAGGGTCCTCCGTCAGAGGGTCCCCCAGGTGAGGGGTCCTCCAGGTGAGGGTCCTCCGTCAGAGGGTCCCCCAGGTTAGGGGTCCTCCAGGTAAGAGGGTTCTCCAGGTGAGGGGGTCCTCCAGGTCAGAGTCCTCCAGGTGAGGGTCCTCCAGGTGAGGGGTCCCCCAGGTTAGGGGTCCTCCAGGTGAGAGGGTCCCCCAGGTTAGGGGTCCTCCAGGTAAGAGGGTTCTCCAGGTGAGGGGTCCTCCAGGTCAGAGTCCTCCAGGTGAGGGGTCCCCCAGGTGAGGGGTCCTCCAAGTCAGAGGGTCCTCCAGGTGAGAGGTGAAGGTGAAGGTCCTCCAGGTGAGGGTCAGGTCACTTGGTCCAGGGTTGTGGGCTTCAGCACGCATTTGGGTGCCTCCTCTGTGTTCAGGACATGGGGACTCCGGGAGACTGAAGGAAACAAGCGCTGATGTCGATGCTGTCAAGTTCTGTGACAGAAATAAGCAGCAGCAAGTGAAAGACAGGAGAGAAGCTCCGTTGAGGGGTGGCATTTAAGCTTAGCTTCTGGGCGGGAAGAGGTAGCTATGTCAGCATTCCCTAACAAGGTGCTGCAAAGTAGATACCTCCCCTCACTCATGGAAGACCTGACCTCTGAAGCTGATAGAAGCCATTCTCACAGGCACCTTCCTCTTCAATCTCACAACCCAGCCCTGGAAGGTGGAGAAAGAAAAGTCGACGTGGAACGTTTAGGAAGTGCCGTTGGTCCAGGTCCAGGATCAGGGGCAGCCAGCATGTCCACTAATCTGGCTTCACTGTTGAAATCCAGTTGAGCACGCAGGGCCTAAACCACTGCCCACTGCTGAGACCAGCTCGGTCGTGGAGACCCTAACCCAGCGGCACTAGAGGAATTAAAGACACACACACAGAAATACAGGGTGTGGAGTGGGAAATCAGGGGTCTCACGGCCTTCAGAGCTGAAAGCCTCGAACAAAGATTTACCCACATATTTATTGACAGCAAGTCAGTGATGAGCATTGTTTCTATAGATTATAGATTAACTAAAAGCATTTCTTACAGGAAGTAAAAGGATAGGCCAAAATAAAGGGATGGGTCTGGCTAGTTATCTGCAGCAGGAGCACGTCCTTAAGGCACAGATCGCTCATGCTAAGTTCAGGAACGCCTCTGAGCGGTTGTCCTCCCTGGATGAGCCTCATTCCAGTAGACGGATAGCCTTCCAGCATGGGCAGCATGGCCATCATGAGCATGTCACAGTGCTGCAGAAATTCTGTGATTTTGTTTATGGCCACTTTTGGGGCCAGTTTATGGCCAGGTTTGGGGCCCTGTTCCCAACAGCCCACAGCCAGACCTAGACTCCATTCAGATTGGTTTTGATCAGCATGTAGAAAATGGGGGAGTTCAGTGTGGTATAGAAAATGGGGGTGTTGGCCGGGCGCGGTGGCTCATGCCTGTAATCCCAACACTTTGGGAGGCCAAGGCGGGCAGATCATGAGGTCAGGAGATTGGGACCTTCCTGGCTAACACAGTGAAACCCCGTCTCTACTAAAAATACAAAAAATTAGCCAGGCATGGTGGCAGGTGCCTGTAGTCCCAGCTACTTGGGAGGCTGAGGCAGGAGAATGGCATGAACCTGGGAGGCGGAGCTTGCAGTGAACTAAGATTGCGCCACTGCACTCCAGCCTGGGCAACAGAGAGAGACTCCGTCTCAAAAAAGAAAAAAAGAAATAAGAAAATGGGGGTGTTGTGACTGGGCACAAAAATTATATCATTGAGAAAATTATGCCAGTTGGGGAAGATCTGATCTAGCCAAACCCCCTTTGACCTTTAGCTTTCAAGCTGCCTTCAGTTATTCTTGGGCTAACTTTGGGAGATGTTTATAGTTTAAATGATAACAGCCCCTCCCCAAAACTCAACTGTATTTGTAAAACTAATGAGGGGCCACCAGGCTAGGGAGAGGAAAGGAGCCTGAATTCTGCTAAGATGTAGACATCAACAATTGTCAGCCATTATTCCAGAGGTCCTGCAGATCACAATGCTATTGGAACCTAAGACTGGCCTTTTGCAATATCTCTCAAGGGTTTTTTGCATGTCTCGTACCTATGGTTCCAACAGGACCCACTGGCTGATGATGGCTTCACTGGACCTGCCAACTACTCCTAGAGTCCCACCCAGAAGTGACTCAGCAAAGGAGGGTCCTGTCTCACCTTACGATGGCCCCCCCAACCGGCTAGCAGCAAGCACCACAACCAGCCAGCAGCAAGCACCACTGCCCGGCTACCCTACCCTTTCCCCCAAACGACCTTTGGAAAACCCGTCCCTGAGTTCTTGGGGAGACTGATTTCAGTAATAATCACTTGTCCGTGTGAATTAAACCCTTTCTCTATTGCAGTTTCCCTACCTTGATCAACTGACTCCATCTGGGCAAGAAGAACCTGCCGGGCGGATACAGTATGAAGCCAGTTTTCCCAAGGGCTTTTATGGGCTCTATAAGTCAACTTGGATTGCTTAAAGCATCCTGTTTATATGTGAAAGCATACCATTCCAGTCAAAGCCTTAGTGAAATATGCAGGGTCTCTAATTATGTCCTATTACAAGAGAAAACAGATTGTACTGCACTTGTGCACATAATTCTTTTTTTTTTTTCTTTTTTTTTTTTTTGAGATGGAGTCTCGCTCTGTCGCCCAGGCTGGAGTGCAGTGGCCGGATCTCAGCTCACTGCAAGCTCCACCTCCCGGGTTTACGCCATTCTCCTGCCTCAGCCTCCCGAGTAGCTGGGACTACAGGCGCCTGCCACCTCGCCCGGCTAGTTTTTGTATTTTTTAGTAGAGACGGGGTTTCACCGTGTTAACCAGGATGGTCTCGATCTGCTGACCTTGTGATCCGCCCGTCTCGGCCTCCCAAAGTGCTGGGATTACAGGCTTGAGCCACCGCGCCCGGCCTTGTGCACATAATTCTATTGACATTAGAATACAGATAGGGGAAGGGAGAGGAAAACTTTTTTTTTTTTTTTTTTTAAATAGTGCTCACAAATAGTTCCCAATTTTTGGAGAAATCAGAAAGAGATATGCTACTCAAGCAAAATTTAAAAAATATATATATATGTTCCAAATTTTTCTCACAGGAGTGTACTTTACTCAATTGCTAAAAGCTGCAAATAGCTCAAAGTTAAAAAAGTTTTCTTGGTTCTGAAAGAACAGAAAGGATCAGTAATGTTTTAAGCAAAAATGTAAAAAGATTATTTCAGTCTTATATTAGTTTAGTCCATAAAATTAACTCTTTTTGCCCAATACTGGATGAACAATCCTCATGAATATAGCAGCTGTCAATGAGAGTCTTGGAAGTTTTTCACTCTATTCTAATGGCACAATCTCTAAAGTGATCAGAAACTTATATTGAAGAGTACCTTGGAGTTCTATAGCTGACTATAAACCACCCTATAAAAGGATCAGAGTAAAACAACAATTGTGGATGACAAAATCTTAGCCACAGTTAAAGACATAATTGAGGCCGGGCACAGTGGCTCATGCCTGTAATCCCAGCACTTTGGGAGGCCAAGGCGGGCAGATAACCTGAGGTCAGGAGTTTGAGACCACCCTGGCTAACATGGCAAAACCCTGTCTTGGCTGGGCACAGTGGCTCACACCTATAATCCCAGCACTCTGGGAGGCTGAGGTGGGTGGATCACTTTAGGTCAGGAGTTCGAGACCAGCCTCATCAACATGGTGAAACCCTGTCTCTACTAAATACAAAATTAGCCAGGCATGGTGGTGCATGCCTGTAATCCCAGCTACTTGAGAGGCTGAGGCAGGAGATCTGCTTGAACCCAGAAGGTGGAGGTTGCAGTGAGCCGAGATCGTGCCATTGCACTCCAAGCCTGGCCAACAAAAGCAAAACTCTGTTTCAAAAAAAAAACCTGTCTCTACTAAAAATACAAAAATTAGCTGGCCGTGGTAGCATGCACCTGCAGTCCAACTACTCTGGAGGCTGAGGTACGAGAATCGCTTGAATCCAGGAGGCAGAGGTTGCAGTGAGCCAAGATTGCACCACTGCACTCCAGCCTGGGCCATAGAGCAAGACTGTCTCAGAAAAAAGAAAAAAAAAAAAAAAAGACATAATTGGCAAGCAAATTTGGTTACTTATGTGGCACACAATAATTTTACATAATAATCATAACTACTGCTAATCCCATATACTAAGACATCAGAATCACAGACATACAATTTTGGAACACACACTAACACCACATTTATAAATATAATCCCAAGAAAAACACCATTTCACATTTAAAAATGCTTCCTGTATGATTTTGTTATACCAAATAAGCCATATATCTCTTTTTGGACATCAGGGGACGTAATATCAAAAAATTGCCAGGCACGGTGGCTCACGCCTGTAATCCCAGCACTTTGGGAGGCTGAGGTGGATGGATCACAAGGTCATGAGATCAAGACCATCCTGGCTAACACAGTGAATCCCTGTCTCTACTAAAATATACACAAAAATTAGCCAGGTGTGGTAGCGGGCGCCTGTAGTCCCAGCTACTCGGGAGGCTGACAGGAGAATGGCGTGAAACCGGGAGGCGGAAGTTCAAGTGAGCTGAGATCTTGCCACTGCACTCCAGCCTGGGCGACACAGCAAGACTCTGTCTCAAAAAGAAAAAATAAATAAAAATTAGCCGGGTGTGGTGGCAGGCACCTGTAGTCCCAGCTGCTCGGGAGGCTGAGGCAGGAGAATTGCTTGAACCCAGGAGGTGGAGGTTGCAGTGAGCCAAGATTGCCCACTGCACTCCAGCCAGGGCAACAGAGTGAGACTCCATCACAAAAAAAAGAAAAAGAAAAATTAATGAGGACTGAAGAAAGAATTTGATTTTGGAAAGTTTGTCAAATATAAAAAGTTTAAAACAGTTGCTATTACTAAATAGGATCACAGGACACTGAAAAATAAGTCACTTAGCCACAGTGGTAACTCACAGATTCCTCTTTTTTTATTTTCTTATTTTTTTTCCTGTTTTTACCTTTCTTATGGTGCTGAGATAACTCAAAAGATTTCAAAAAAAAAAAAAATGTAGAAACCTTTATTCTTTGAGAGAATTTCTCAAATGATAAAGACAGCATAAGGTCAATTAAATCTCTAAACTTTTATAAACAAATCTATTAAATTGTAATCATCGTGACCATAAGGTATAATTTTCAGGCCAGGCATGGTGGCTGACGCCTGTAATCCCAGCACTTTGGGAGGCCAAGGCAGTCGGATCACTTGAGGTCAGGAGTTCTAGACCAGCCTGACCAACATGACAAAACCTCGTCTCTACTAAAAATACAAAAAGTAGCCAGGCATGGTGGTGTGCGTCTGTGATCCCGGCTACTTGGGAGGCTAAGCCAGGAGAATCGCTTGAACCCAGGAGAAGGAGGTTTCAGTGAACCGAGATCACACCACTGCACTTCAGCCTGGGTGACAGAACGAGACTCTATCTAAAAAAATAAAAATAAAAAAATAAAATAATTTGTAATGCTGGGCGTGGTGGCTCACACCTGTAATCTCAGCACTTTGGAAGGCCAAGGCGGGTGGATCACCTGAGGTCAGTAGTTCAAGACCAGCCTGGCCAACATGGAGAAACCCCGTCTCTACTAAAAATACAAAAAATTAGCCAGTTGTGGTGGCAGGCGCCTATAGTCCCAGCTACTCGGGAGGCTGAGGCAGGAGAATGGCATGAACCCAGGAAGCAAAGCTTGCAGTGAGCCGAGATTGCACCACTGCACTCCAGCCCAGACAACAGGGTAAGACTCCGTCTAAAATATACATATATGTGTATATATAAATCTTTTTACAAACTTTATCACAACTTACACAAACCATTTATAATATACTTGGTCTTCCTGTTTTATCCTGAACATCCCTCTTTCCAAAATAACCAGCCATTTTAGAACAAAAATTTAGCATACAAGATTCTTTCCCATATGAAATTATTTTCCTTTTAACTTTTTCTACTAAAAATATATCCTTATAACTATCTTTACATCTGTACTTTTTTTTTTTAATTTTTTTTTGAGACAGTCTCGCTCTGTCACCCAGGCTGGAGTGCAGCGGCACAGTCTCTGCTCACTGCAAGCTCTGCCTCCTGGGTTCTTGCCATTCTCCTGCCTCAGCCTCCGAACGTAGCTGGCGGACTACAGGGGCTGCCCCACGAGCCCCGAGCTAATTTTTTTGTGTATTGTTCATAGTAGATGGGTTGTTCACCATGGTTTAGCCCAGGTGATGTAGGTGCTCAGAGCTCTCGCTAACCTCGTGATCACCTGCCTCGCCTGCCCAAGGTGCTGGCGATACAGGCGTGAGCCACCGAGCGCTCCGGGCCACTATATTGGTTTTTTAAAGACAACTCAGACGTATGGTTGCCCAGCGCTGGTCTCAGACTCCTGTGCTCAAGCCAAGTCCCACCCAGGTTGGGCCTACCAAAGTAACAACTAGGTTACAGGCCATGTAATTACAGCCATTGTCCAACCATGCCTGTCCCGATCAATTCTGTATTTTTAGTAGACAATGGGGGTTTCATCAATGTTGGCAGGCTGAACCTGGGAACTCCTTGCACTTCAAGTGATCCAACGACCTGCCTCGGCCTCGCCAACCTGCTGAGATACAGGCGTTGAACCACTGCAACCTGGCCTGTTGTCCTTGTTCATGAAGAAACATTTTTTAAAGACACTTTTTTCCTAAAATATAATTGTTTTTAAGGAAAATTAGAAATGACCTAGACATTTAACTGGGTGTCTTATTATTAATTATAACTTTTTGATTTGAAATTATTACAAGCTTATTTACAGGTATATCTTCCATTGGTATTTACCTATTAACTTTTAAAAAATAGTTCACTACTGATTACTTAAGAAAACTGTGGGCCTAGGCCCGGGCGCGCGTGGCTCCAAGCCTGTAATATCCCAGCACTTTTGGCGAGGCCGAGTATACGGGCGGATTCACGACGGGTCAGGAGATCGAGACCATCCTTCCTGGCTAACACGGTGAACACCCCGTCTCTACTAAAAAGTAAAAAAAACTCAGCCGGCAGGTGGTGGCGGGCCGCCTGTAGTCCCAGGCTACTCGGGGCGGGCCGAGGCAGGAGAAATGGCGTAACCAGGAGGCGGAGCTTGCAGTGAGCTGAGATCCGGCACTGCACTCCAGCCTGGGCGGCAGGGAGACTCCGTCTCAAAAAAAAAAAAAAAAAAAAACAAATGGAGAATGGCGTGAACCCGGGGCGGCCCGAGCTTGCAGGAGCAGGAGACTCGCGCCACTGCACTCCAGCCCGGGTGACAGAGCACAGAGCGAGACTCTGCCTCAAAAAAAGTTTATATTTTCCTGATACAGTATTTAAGTGCTTTTTTTCCTTTAACCGAATT